CAAAATGCTGATAAAACTAATCAAAGAAAACCTAAATACACTGATAAGAGAAAGCACAGAGGACCTAAATAAATGGAGAAACATACTATGTTCATGGATTAGAAGACTCAACATAATCATGATGTCAATTTTTTTCAGAACAATCTATAGGTTTAATGCAATTCCTATTAAAAGCTTATTCTAAAATTTATATGGAAAGACATAGACTTAGAATAGCTAAAAAAAAATTGCACAAGAAGAATAAAGTGAATGAAATCACTGTACAAATGTTAAGGCTCTCTCTATAGCTTTAGTAATCAAGAGAGTGTGATATTGGTGGAAGGACTGACACATAGAAGAATGAAACAAAATAGAGAACCAAGAAATATACCCACAAAAATGTCCAACTGATTTTAGACAAATGTGCAAAAGTAATTAAATATAGGAAAGATAACCTTTTCAATAAATGTTGCTGGAGCAATTGAAGCCACAGGCAAACAAATGAACATTGACTTTAAACCATATCTTATATGAACATTAACTCAAATGGATCATGGCCTTAAATATATAATGTAAATCTATAAAGCTTTTAGGTTAAAAAAAAAATAGAAAAATCCTCAGGACCTAAGGGTAAGTAAGGAGTTCTTAGACTTAAAACTGAAAGCACCGTTCATAAAATGAAAAAATTAATAAATTCAGTCTCATCAAAATGTTAAAATTTTACTCTGTGAAAGACTTTATGAAGAAATATTAAAAAGCAAGGTAAAACTTGGAAGAAAATATTTGCAAACCACATATCTGACAAAAGACTTGTGTCTAGATGTTTCACAGAAGAAGATATATAGGTAGCAGACAAGCCCATGAAAAGATGTTCAACATCATCAGCCACTGGGTAACACAAATTAAAGCCAAAATAAACTATCACTACACATACTATCAGAATGGCTAAAATGAAAAATAGAGATAATACCAATATGCTGACAAGACTGTGCAGAAGCTGGATCCATTGCTGGTGGGAAAGTATGAGTTGAACCTCTTTGGAAAAGAGTATGGTAGTCTCTTACAGAACTATACATGTACTTACCATATGACCCTATAATTGCATTGTTGGGCATTTAACCCAGAAAAATAAAAACTTACATCACACAATAATCTGTAGATGAATGCTCATAACAGCCTTATTCACAATAGCCAAAACCAAGAAACAATTCAAATGTTCTTCAATGGGTAAATGGTTAAATCAAATACAGTACATCCATAACATTAAATACTAATCAGTAATCAAAATCAACACTCTTGATGAACAAACAACTTGGATGGATCTCAAGAGAATTACTCTGACTGAAAAAAGATAATCTCAAAAGGTTACATAACGGTTTGATTATATAAGGTCTGATTTCATTTATATAGGATTGTTGAAAAGACAAAATTATAGAGACAGAGCAGATTAGTGGTTTCCATATATAACAGAGGAGGGAAGGAGTGATGGAAGTGGCTGTGGTGGCCGTGGCTGTGAAGGGTAGCACAAGGGATGTTTGTGATGGAACTGTCCTGGTGGTGGTCAGATTAACCTACACATGTGATTAAATTATATAAGAACCACACACACACACACACACACACACACGAGTGCATGTAAAACTGGTAAAATCTGAATAAGGTCAGTGGATTGTATCAATGTCCATTTTCTGATTATGATATTATGCTATATTATATAAGAAGTTGCTACTGGGGGAAAATGAGTGAAGAATATAAAAAATATCTCTGCATTATTTCTTACAACTGCAAGTGAATCTACAATTATCTCAAAGTTAGTGTTTTTAAAACAATTAATTGATGGGCATATTTAACATATGTGCATGATATTGCATGTAACTCTCATTTGAATTTTTTTAAAGGTCACAAAAATATAAGTCCCATATTCTTTAACTTCACCTTGGATAAATAATTAAAGCTAAAGGTAACAATCAGCAATTATTAGTTTAATGAGGAATCTTGAAAAATGAGAAACTGTTGACACAAAATCTTTGAGAACACAAAGCTCTGAGTTAATTATCATGTTTTGTAATAGAACTAAGAGTAAAAGACTGGAAACCATTTGCAAGACATCCATCTTGAAGATACTAAGACTAAAATATTGGGCCAGGATGGGGTAAAGGCAATTTTTTTGGAATATTTATAGTTTTTCTGTATTTTTAAATCATAAAATTGTTTAGTCAGCAAAAAGTTCTCTGTGAGACTATAATCTAATTCCAATGGTTAATTATTACTTAACCTTTAATCTTATAATATTTAATAGTCATCTTATTATAAATGTACAATAAACTGGTCAGATGCTCTTAGAATTATTGAAAACCTCCATTTCCTTCCTTGTATAAATTTTGATACCAGCAAAATAAGTAATGTTGATGGGCTGACCTGTGGCTCACTTGGGAGAGTGCGGCACTGGGAGCGCAGAGGCGCTCCCGCCGCGGGTTCAGACCCTATATAGGGATGGCCAGTGTGCTCACTGGCTGAGTGCAGTGCAGACGACACCAAGCCGAGGGTTGCAATACCCTTACCAGTCACATACACACAAAAAAGTAATGTTTATAACAGAAACAATTTATAATTATAATGAAGAATCTCAACTCTTCTTCCAATAGTCTCTATTCAAGAATCTTTATTGAAAGAGCCCACAATTTTTCCTTTAAATTCAACAAAGAAAACTCTTCTTAAATCTGACTGACTTTGTTTTTTAAGTGTATTTTCCTGTCTTTTTTCCCCATAGATATATTTTTTCAAGAATTTTTTAATACTTAAGTCAATTTTCATGCTCAAGTTCAACAAGCCTCTAAATCTTCATTTATCCTTAGAATAACTGTCTTGCCCTATTAAAATATATTCAATCTGTATGTCAGCTATTACTAAAAATTATAAAGAAATTTTACTACATAAAAAACTAATGCTCATTAAGTTGAAAATAATAACGAAAAATTTTAGGCTCACCTGCCCAAAGCTCACAGCCATCATGGGTATATTATAACTGCAATTATATGAGGTCATGGTAACAGAATATTGGTTTGTCATAGTTGATCCATTTATTTTGGTTTGATTCACCTGAAAATGTTTTAAAAATATTCCTTTATTTGCTAATGCTGGAAGTCTTCTCTTTGGCATTTCTAAAGAATATAAGTAAACAAAAAGTGAGAGATAAAATTTTATAACTTCTGCTGCTAAAAAGAAAACCATCAAGTAATATCAACATGTCATGGAATAATTTGTTTAAAATAAAATTTTATATAGAAGACCTTAAAGCAAGAAGTTTGTGAAGCTTGGTAAACTTTCACTTCTAGATTACAAAGCTTTAATGTCTTTAAAACCAAATATTTAAAAGCCACCAAGCCCTAAGTTCCATCTGGCTTTCGGTGGGCCAGTTAGCTTTACTCTGTTCTAAGTTCCTTGAAGGTGGTGCTCACTAGGATGTACGCTCCATGAGGGCAGGACAAGGACTGTCTTGGTCACTGCTCTTTCTTCAATACTTGACACCGTGCCTGCCACATCGTAGGTGCGAAGTGAATATTTTAATGAACTGCAACATTTATCCCAGCACAATCCAGCTGTCTTATACATGTGTCCCACCAAGCATAACATATGTCTGGTGGTAGCAGATTCAAAAGGAGTGATTAGTCGTAGTAACATTTAGTTTTTTATCAGTTGGCTCATCACCTTGCAGGTGAAAACCATTCCAAAGGATTCCAACACTCCTCTCAAGAATGGAAAAAAACACTTTTTAAGATGACTCTTTGGAGTTATGTTGATTTTTTAGAACATTGTGGAGTTTATTATTTTATTATCACATCTCATATATGTATGGGTTTATTAATGTGACTAAAAAGACAGTGCTAAGACTATCAAAAATAAGGTTTTATTTATAGCATTATTAATTACCACTCTTAAGTCATGGAAAATGTCAGGTCAACCTTACTAGACGGATGTCAATGTCAATAGCTGTATTTTAGGAATAGATTTCCCTCTTTGTAGTTGGTTTTCTCAAAGATAAAGCAAAATGTTTTATAAAAGGCAAAATGAAAATATTTGCCACAGTGTATCCATAAGCAAAACCAAGAACCATAAAGCTAATTCCTGCTACAATTAAAAAGTTTATGTTAATGATACATTTATCTTTAGAATAATCACCTTGCCCTATCTGTTAAAAAGTAAAGTTAAATCATATTATTGAGATAAAAGAATGGCTCATTAGTATTTAGAGATTAATGTTTCTATCTGTATGACAGAATTTAAAATAATTTTTATGGTAAGATTTTACTATAAGATAGATTTAGAAGACTAAAGAGGATATAAAATTTTATAACATACCATCCAGTGTTGAGATTGTAGATGGCTGTCCAATGTATACTATATCCACATAGAAAGACTGTGATTCTGATGCTTTCTGTAAACTAACAGAGGATATAAAATTTTATAACATACCATCCAGTGTTGAGATTGTAGATGTCTGTCCAATGTATACTATATCCACATAGAAAGACTGTGATTCTGATGCTTTCTGTAAACTAATCCTTTGAAGAGAAAAATTCGTCCCAGAATATTTGGCTTGTATGATATCCAGAAGATCTATGCAAGTGTAGGTCCAGCTGAAATATGGTTGAAAAATTTTGTGTATAAATGACTTATAATGTTTAATGTAAACAAATGCACCATAAAAAGCATTAAAAATTTAAAGAATAAAAGCTTTTTTCTCTATAAGTAAACCTTCAAGCATACTTTATTAGCACAGAAAAGAAGCCATAACAAGGCACAGCAGGCAGAAACTTTCAAGGGCAGTAAAGGATTTAATGTTGCATACAAATATAGGTGTTCTTTTATTTGTAGCCTTGGCAAGAGCCATGGGAATGTAAAATACCATTCTATAACAACATGTAAGGAAACTAAGGAGCACACACGTTGGTGTCAAGCACATTAACAAAAACAAGACATAGGAACAGAGTCAACTATTTTAGCAAAAATCCCCACAGATAGAACAGTAAATTCAGTCCAATGCTAAGAAGCAAATTGGAACTTGATATTACCTCCAGAAGATCTCACCGGAGTAGCACTGTCAATTATTCTAAGTGTCTAAAAGGAGTTAAGTTATTTATAGACATAAATGGCTGCATGATACCTTTTAAATATCAAACTTAGATTTAGATTTTCTATTAAATATTAACTACAATGGAATCCCATAAATTACAATTAAGCATTTCAGCTATGAGAGTTTGGGCACCTCTGATTCTCTTTTTTTTAATAGAAGTAGGAGAGTTTACTTTGCCTTGATAATAATAGTTTCAACAAGAGAACCTTACTCTTTGTGAAATTTTTATTTAAAAGGTCTTGTAATATTTAGTCAAAGAAAACCCATCAACTTCATCAAATGTAGTGCATCTTCAAATTACTGCACAACAGATAAATTGCAAGGTAAAAGGAGAGACCTAAGTAGTGATTGGTAAATGATGTCTTGACTATCATGAAAGAACTAGGATTTGTAAAATATTCCAAAATCTTGTGGCAATGGAGGATGATATTCATATGGGCTGTGGGTGGGCATCAAGACTAAAATTGTGATTCCGCTGTTCAATGTGGGAATGCAGCACTGTTGCAGCAAACTGTGCCTTCAGATATTCCTTCACGAGCTTCTGTTTCATAAAGATTCACCATGGGATTATCCAAGATTTGAAGCAAATTGAGGGTGAAGCTGTGGTATGTAATCACTCTGTTCGAGGACTTTCCATGCTCCTCACCAACTAACATGGGTAAGGCTGCCTCGAACACCTGGAATTTCTCCTGCCTACGTGACTGCCAGCAGAAGGAACTTGTGGCCTCTTCTGAATCAACAATTACCCTGTGAATTGCAGAATTGCCCCCACTTGTTTTATTCATTCCAGATGCTAACTTTGGTCCCATTTTACATATTGGATTAAACTGTGTAGTGGCCTTAAAGGCATGTATTTGTGCATCAGGATGATGAACAACTTTTTCAATCTAATCGATCTCTTCCTCTCTCTCTCTCTCTCTCTCTCTCTCTCCCCCTCTTATTCTACTTCTGTGAAAACCTAAGATGAATCAAATGCATTTAAAAAATGCCAACAGTGCGCACACAGAGGCCAAAGCTGTTTAATCAAATGACACTGGGAGGATAAATCTAAACTGTTAGGAAAAGGACATTTCTTTTTTTATTTTTTCCTTTTTGTCTTTTTTCGTGACCGGCAATGGATCGCAACCCTCGGTGCTGCCCCTGCACCTCGCTCAGCCAGTGAGCGGCCGGTCTGTATGTGGGATCCGAACCCTCGGCGGGAGCGCCACCACGCTCCCAAGCGGCGCACTGTAGCAGTGCGCCACCGGGCCGGCCCAGGAAAAGGACATTTCTTAAGCATTTGGTTCAAAATGGTGTACTTTTTTTGTTAGGGGGGAAATAGGCTTGATTGCTTATTTTAAGTTTCCATAAGAAAACATGACCCAGGAGTGTCCTGCACCTTTCTTAGAGAGTAGCTTCCTATAATTTTGTGCAAACACTGCCCACAGCAGGACGCGCAGAGCTCATGCAGTATTCGCTCTCTACGTTGAAGTCCACTTTAAATTCTACCAAACAGCAGTGTCTGATGAACTTTCTGTCCTTGAGGAACAACAATTTTTCTTTCTTTACATCCTATGGAAGCATGTTAGATTTTATTACTGGGGCAATACATAAATCATCTTTTTAATCCTTATTTCAAAAATATGAAGTAACTTGATATTATTTTTCTATTGTTCTGTCTTCTTGTCTCACCTCACAAGGAAAGTAATTTTGAGATGACCGATCTTCTTTCTGTTCTTCGTTTCTGCTTTCTTAAGCTTCTTTCTGTCTACAAAACCAATTTCCTCTGCTTGGCTCATTGGAATAATCTTATTCTATTTTATGGAAGAATCATGTGCCTGATTCTAGAATGGCAATAAAGTCAATTGAGATCTTAAAAAAAAAAAAATAGAAAGAAAGAAAAGAAAAGAATCCAAGGAATATCAGTGGTAGAATTTTTGTGTCTCCTCAAAAATTTTTTGAAAAGCTTAATGCCTCACTAAGGATTTTCTCTCTGACAAATGTCTGTTAGATATCCAAGGAATATCAGTGGTAGAATTTTTGTGTCTCCTCAATAATTTTTTGAAAAGCTTAATGCCTCACTAAGGATTTTCTCTCTGACAAATGTCTGTTAGATATCTACATTTTAACTACGGCTTCCTTCCTCATGGTAAAAGGTTCTGACACCTTTATTTAAAGTTGGTCCACAGCTGCCAAGTGGTCTACTCTGATCAATGGATCAGAGCATCTGAAGAGCATTAGGTCCACGTGCTCAGGATATGACACCAGAGATGCATACATCAAACATGATGTTTTCTTTTGAAAACTGGATACTATGACTTTTCCTTCTTTCCTTAACTTAAGGTCATTCTGCTTCCACAGGACAGAAAGCTATAAGCTGGAAAACCTTAAAAGGTTTCAGGTTAAAATCTAGGTTGGGGTACAGATAGGGGTGTATCTCACCTGCGAACTAGCCTGATGCCTCCAGCTGGCCCTGATGTGCTCTGACCCACCTGTCTATTCCCATCCCCTGTCACTGCTACTGTCACTACCCCAGTGAACGCATCTTGTTTCCTCCTGGTGGTGCCTGGGGACCTAGCTTTGCTGGAGATCCTCCACATCCCCTCCCTGGCTGTCTCCCACCGTTATTTTAAACATTTAACAAACAAAGTTCCCCTTCCAGTCCAATATATTTCAACGAATTTTAGAGTGCACATACTTCTAAAGATATGCATTGGAAGCTGGCCCCTGGATTTTGAAAATAGTGTCAGGATGATACAGAAAACAGGACACTTGAAGTTGCAGTGCTGGGCAGCAGCTCTCAGTCCATAATCTTCACCCAGAAACTAACTCCTCCATCAAGACTGTCCTTTCATTTCATCTAATTATTCTACTCTCCCTTATTATCCTGACTTCTTAAAAAATGTCTTGTCTTCGTTTTGTTTTGTTTATGATTGGCATTTGATTCTGTTTCCAGCTTTGGGTCATTTTTCTCTCCTTCTGTGGGGCTGTCAAGAGTAGGCTCCAGTTCTGCCTCACACTGCTCCACACAGCAGTTCTGAGTTCTTGTAGCCCCATCCCCATGATGACAACAGAACAGTGCTCTCCATGGATTATAAAGTGATGGAAACATAAGTGACATGTATTAAAGTATGACATAACATGTATAGATCCATACAAAATAGAGAAGATTTTTATGTAGCTATGACAGGAAAAAAAACTAGAGAAACATTTAAAAATCTTCTCAAAATATGAAAATGTAACCATGGCTATTTTAATGACATAAACTTTATATGAAAAAGAAACTTCTAAAATTGTGGAGAAAAAATGTTCTGTATTTGATTGGGGTGATGGTTACATGACTGTATACATTTGTTAAGACTCATTGAACTGCGCACTTAAAAAGAGTGAATTTTACTTTATGTAAATTACACTTCAATAAACATGACTAAATTTATGAGGTGTATTTTGTAAAATAGAAAAGTGTGTGTGTGTTTCTGTGTGTCTTCATTATTATTCTATTATAAATGAAATTTTTGCATGTATTGCAAATGAAAATGAAAAGTCAGAATTGACATAAATTTCAGAATATATAAAAATTAATAAAAAACAAAACATAATTATACAAAACTAAATTGTGCTTGAGGGTATGATAATTGTGGCAATTAAATAGCTTTCTCTAAGCTCATTAGTTTCTTCCTTTATATTTCTCTATTTGCGTTTCTATGTGTCTAACTTTTGGCAAAGCAAGTATCATTTCAAAATATCTTTTCTCCCTTTATTCTGACATATTCATTGAAATATTTATTTTCCTTGCTAATTCATAGCAAGTACTTTTTTCAGTCCTCAAAGTCTAATGACAGTATTATGATAATCTGGTCTCTTCCTACCTTCCTTCAGTAACAAGAAACATTATTAAATTTAATGATATGTAATTAAATTCCAAAGTTACCACTGCTTTGTCTTCTAATGACTCAGTCACTAGAAGACAAAACAATGAGTGATCATGAGCAATGATGACACTAGACCAATTTTTATTTTAATAATCTATAGATTTCTTTTTGACACACTATTTCTGTTAGGGAGCATATGTAAAGCCCTGGAAAGTAGATGTTAGATCCATGGTGCACATGATTTCCTCTCCCCCCACCCCCCAAAAATAAAACAAAAGACAAAACCAAAAAAACACAAGAAATGAGTTTGTGTTATCATCATAGTTTATAAACTATAGTGTAACTGAGTTTTCAAATTGAGAGTGTAACTTACTTGCTTCCATAAGAAAAGTTATATGTAAATTGTACATAAGTATTTCTAGTAATCTTGCTGTTGTCTTGGTACTGAAATTTTAGACCAATATAATTCGCCAGGAATCCTTTGTATGCTAAACATAACTACATAAAAAATATGAAAAAAATCAGTAACATTATCTTTCCATTAAATTGATGTGTAACAATTCAAATCAATTCAACTCAATTCAAAAAAATTTATTGCATATTTCCCACATAAATTGTACCAGAATTCAGAGAAAGAAACGATTAATTTCAGCCAGTTAGCTGCAGAATTGAAAAAGATTTTATAGACGAGGAAGTGGAGTTGAAATGACCTTACCATTAATTATCAATTTTTTATTGTTTTCTTAGATACGGTTTCCTTTAAAAGTGAAAACAATTCACGCCCTATGGAGATGAGCTATGGTATTAACTCTAACTAAACTCTTTGGTACATTTAAAAGTCCATTGCACATAGAGAAGAGAGGTAAACATTCAGGCAGATCCACTGGGATGTGAATGCAGTTGAGCATTTAGAGACAGAGATTAATGTCCCCATAAAATAGTAATAATTAAAGACCAATTTTAATAGGCTACAACTTCTTAAGCATGCCAAATATATTAAGAACCGAGAATTTTAGAACATGTGTGACCATTTGAGAGTTTTAAAACAAGAGAAAGGCTAAATCTATGCTTGCGAGCCTTAAATATCCAAACTAAAACTACCATCCCCTGTGCTCATGATTTTCTTTCAATTTTCCCTGACTGGATAACCAAGATCACTCTATGATGGCTATTCATTTTTGTTTCCTCTTAATTAATGAAGAAAATGGAGAAGATTATACATTTGTAACTGTTTTAGCATTTAAACTTGTGTGCAAATAATTTTTATATGATTATGAGATAAAGCAGAATAAATAATACACTGTACTCTGTTGTTTTTTCTGTTTTTGTTTTGTTCGCATTCTGCACCGAGAATGTGAACCACAGTGCCTGTCCAACATGACATAATTTCACATGGTAAGAACTTTTCCTTGTCTTAAAATTTCACAAAATTTTATTACCAAGGTATTTTCCAGATTCAATTAGCATATCATTTTGTTGAGCTTACCTGATTATAAGGAAATAATAAAATGTCACCATACGGTAGTCTGTTTGGTTTAACATCTGCTGAGTCAAAAAGAACAGCTGGGTTTTTCAGGGAATAACGACCACAGTAAGCATCAGTTTCAGCTGTCTTCTGCCCTCTGTTGATGTGTTCCTACAGAAACAATAATATTTCAAATGAAAACATGAAACATGATTTATCGTCTTGTAGGTCTCCCAACATCTCCACCTAAGTCATTCAAGTTCCACTTGAACCCCACTGTTTTCCAAGCTACTTTAATTTGAGATGTTTTCTCTCTTTTCTGAAATTCTAAAGCCCTTATTTAGATCTGTAATCATGTAATCCCTTACAACTGTATTAGACTATTTCCCAAGTCCTACCTTTCTCCATATATTATGAACTGCTTAAGGATATTTATTCATTTTCTCCATGAATGTTTATTCAGTGTTTACTGTGTGCCAGGTTTTTGTTTGTTTTTTATTGAATCTTCAGGACTCGAGTGGTGAAGAACACTATCCCTATGCGTAGATGCCACAAGACTGGGAGAAAGGAGCCAGTGATTCCAGTACTAAGGCTGAAGAGAAGCACTGAACTCACATGAAAGCATCGAGAAAGATGACTCAGAGGAAGTGACAAATGAGTGAAGTCTTTAAAGATGAATGGGAGTTGTTCAAATAAAAAAAAGATTTCAAAGCACTGTTCAAATGGGAAAAAAGGGCCAAGGGCTTCAGAGAGAGGGTAAAATATGTGCAAAAAAAGGGCCAAAGGCTTCAGAGAGAGGTCAAAATATGTCTGAGAGAGGCTGGTGTTGGGAAATATAAATAGCTAAGGTTAGGAGGAGCATAGAAACGCATGTTGGGTGGTGACAGGAGATGAAGTAGAATGTCAATTACTTGTGCAATCCACATGACTGTCAGTACTACATTCGGAATAGGAGAACCCAAATACTTGCATATTTATTAAATTAGGTTGAAAAGATCACCCATTAAATGAAAGATTTTCCTTTTTTTCTCACTAATAAATCTGTTCATGTGATATATTTTTGAGGGATAATATTTTTTCTAGGGTATTGATCTGAATTAAATAACTAGACTATTTCTTATTCTCATAGTACTCACTTGGAAATGGTAAATATCTGGCTTCCTCAAGTCTTCAAAATGAGAATTAGGAAGTGTATATTTAATTTTTTTTCTTTTGCTGTATATCAGAGAAAAATCTTTATATTTCATGAAGAAAGAAATAATGACTAGGCATTGTACTCATTGACCAGAAGGTGATTTCAAAAAGCAAGGGAAAGCAATTTACTCCATAATGCCCACTACAAATTATATTCTTTGAAGTCAGTGAGGAAATAGGATCTATTCTGCATCCAAGTAAAGAAAACAAACAAACAAAAAAGCCTGTAGATCTTACAGTAGCCCATCTTGTCTGCTTCTTGTAGATGAAGAAAACTTATGTGTGGTGAAAATATAGTTTTCACAAATGAGTCATTTTATAACGTGAGAAGATGCTAAAACCGGCCTCACCAATAAATATATAACAAAATTATTTTTGCAATTTGACTTTGAATGATAAAATAATTAACACTAGTTCAAGGAAGAAATCATAAAATTGCAAACATTCACATGAATTCTTATTTGGCCAGTTTCATAGTTAATTAAACATTCCGTACCAGGTTAAAATCAGTTTCATAGTCTCTGAAGTATTTCACAACAAATCCTTCTTCAAAATTTGTAATCTGTGGTGGACACTGGGTACTAACCATTTCTTCCATTGCTACCTGAAACTAAATTGACAATATAAACTTTATTAAATTCTTTTTCACGAAGAGTTAGAACATAAGAAGTATTACTAATTAGTTCTAATAGAACATTTTTATAAGATAATTCCCATATTTTAGCCATGATAATTTTAACATATGATAACTTCAGCGTCCGGTGACTTTTTAAGAGTTTTATTTTAGAATAATAATAGCTACATGCAACTGGCTAATATTAGCTTAGGTATTACACAAGGCAGACACATTTATTTAGTGGTTTTTTAAAAAGAGCAATGAAACAAACCTAACTTAATTAATATGAAATAAAAAAATTAATTAATACCAAATAAATAATTTTCCCTACTAACTCAGGATTAAGTGGGTGAAAAACTATATACTCCAATGCATTCTTGCTTTTCAAAAGAAGAGAAGTATATACCATAAGCCTGTATTTATGATTTTTGAAAAACAATACATAATTTTGGGTTATAAAGGAATGGGTACACATTCATGAGTCTCCTATAATTGTCACATCTGTTTATCTGACAAAGCACAGAAATTGTTTAGAATTAAGGACTTGAGACAACATATGGTCTTTAATCATCACACAAATACTAACTTAAATTCATGGTACAGGTAGTTGTCAAAATTCAGTAACTCACAAGCATTCTTTCTTTATAAACAGCTGCCCCACATGGAGATACATTAGATCCTGTTGACACTGATCTGAGATCTTCCCTTGCCTTCCCTCTGTCTTTGTCCTATTTCCTCCCTTCTCTGCTCACTCTGGGTTGTCTCCAACCCACTATGCCAGGTAGGAGAATGTATTACTATTCCTTAACGTGCTCTTTATAGAAGGTTGACACTCCAACAGTTTTCTGCTTCATAAAATAACAAGATATATAAACTAACCAATACTTTATTGTTAAGCTTTTACTGTACTACATTTCTCAAGGAATTTCTGCCTTTGACATGATGACAAATTAGATTTTGAATGCAGAACAATGCTAGGGTGGGTAGAAGGACACCAAGTCTCTCTGCAGAAGCAGAGCAAGGCTTTGAAAGCTTTAAGATGCCTTGCCTAGGAAAAGGAGTGGTTGTATTATATTGTCTTTGAGTCTCCTTTCAGACAAAACTGCCCATGATATGTAAATTGTGGTAAGTTGGTCAGGCACTAAATTAGTTGGAGTGTTTTTTGGAAGTAATGTCTCCTTCCTATCTGTTTACAAATGGCCAGTGAATGCTGTGACAAGATGCAGAGAAACACGGGGTAGGAACAGTCCTAGAGCGTACTTCAGCTTCCGATGACCATGGAGTAAGAGGCTTAGAAACAATTCCATCCCAATTCAGTGTGAATGTCTCCAAATTGGGTTTTCCTTTGGTTTGCTCTGTAATATCCAGTGTGACATTATTTCCATCAAATACTTCATAACCGAGCAGATCAAAATCTCCTGCAAAGAAGTACCAAACAGATTTTCCAAAAGTTAATTAACAAAATACCAATATATCTTCTAACAGACACTCAAATTTAACTGAAGTAGTTTTCTTTGAAGTTCCATTTTCACAAAAGAAGGATGAATGGGAAAGATGCAAATCCTTAAATTTGAGTAGTTGGAGTAGATTTATCCATGGCAGTAATAGCAAAACAGCAAAATGGTATCTACTTAAATTTCTGTTTCTATGGCTTAAAAGGAAGTGTTATAAGAAAAATAGAAGAATGTATTGGGACCATGAGGTAAAGATCAATGGGTAGTAGGGTATTCCAAAAATTCTTTTAGTTTTGTGCCAGTAACATTATTGTAGTGCATAAGAGTTGGCTAGGATGCTGCTATTTTCTTTAGATACGAATAGGACACAAAGCTGAATTCCAGGAAATAGCTCCAGGCCTGTGAAGCTTGTTCATAAATGTCACTTTAAGAGAAATAAGGCCTTGTCCTCAGATGTCTCTCTTCTCTGAAAGGATGAAATTCTATTGACTTTCTCTGTTGGGCAAAGTCTTAAAATTTGCCCACTTAAGATTTTGGTACCATATTTCTTAAGGTCTCTGCTGAAGACTTAAAATTTCTATCTGGTCTATGAATAGATTAGTAAGAATAACCATATCTTCATTTATATAGTATTTTGACAATCTAACTTTTGAGAAATTTTTAGAACTTCAATTCATGTTAAACAAAATTCTTCATCCTCCACTCAACAATCAAATTAACAATTTCATAAAATGAGACATAAACAGTGAAGTAACATTTTACTTACAACAATTGGAAAATAATGATTGCCCAAAGAAAAGTAAACACACACACACACACACACACACACACACACACACATTTATTCAGGGACCTACTTCATGCGCTAGATGTACCAAAATAGTCAAACTGGTGCTTAACTTGACTTTAAGGTGAACACACACACATTTATTCAGGGACGTACTTCATGCGCTAGATGTACCAAAATAGTCAAACTGGTGCTTAACTTGACTTTAAGGTGAAATGTCTACCTCAGTATTTCCAAAACTATGTAAAACATTAATAAGAGGTTAATAGCTATAACTTGGGGAAAGAAAGGGTGGAGAGATCAAATAAGTTTGTATTAAATACAGGTGAATTGTTTTTTTGACTGTAAGACTCCTCAGGGTTTTTAATATTCTAATGAGATCTGTCAATCTCCAAGAAGCAGCCATGATATGAAGTGTTTCCCATGTGACTTTGACAACAGAACCCTTTCATCAGGCAAGATTCGGCCAGACTAGTGTCTCCTACACAATACTGCTTTACTCTAAATTCATTTTCGTAATTAATATTTTTGCTAATTTTTACTAATTTATAAAGTGGGCTATTATACTGATAGTGCATTAGAAGCACATACAGTGCATCCCTCATGCATTGGAGTGGACTTGTATTAGTTATCATAGAAAAAAATTAATAATTCACTTTCTATTTCTCCTGACATTGATAAGGCTATGAATCCAATTTTTTCCTCTGTCATTTTATAAAAACTTTTGCCTTTTACAATGGAATTGCACAAGATACAAATTTGTTTCCTAGAGAAGTGCAAAATGAAAGACACGCTTACCTCTGGTTGATATAAAGGTTATCGTGTAGATGTAGCTCTGGAGATTCTGTGTTCTTATTACTTGAACTGTATCTGGTTTTATAGACCAGAGGTCATTTAAAGCTGATTGCAGTACAAAGTCAGAAGCATCAGCAGGTAGCAAGACTTTTGGGTGAATTAAAGAAAAAAAAACCGAAGAGTTGAAATCTTTCTGAACTACTGCAGCCAACACTGATGTTTTATATTTAAATTTTGAAAGCACCCATACTCTGTACCATATAAGTTATCATTTGCAGAAATTATGTTCTGAAACGAGGAGTTGAAATCTTTCTGAACTACTGCAGCCAACACTGATGTTTTATATTTATATTTTGAAAGCACCCATACTCTGTACCATATAAGTTATCATTTGCAGAAATTATGTTCTGAAAATAATGTTCTAAATTTCAATAAAATTGACTATTTAGTTGGTTTGTGATCTCTTTAAGGATAGGGCTCATATTTTATCATTCTAATATTTCCATAGTAATAAGCATTGTATTTAGCAAACAGTAAGCACTCAATATTTACTAATTGAAACAGTGAACAGAAATGGAAAAAATATTTTTGGAATTTATTACAAAATGCAATTAGTGTTTCATGGGTCTATCACTTAATTTGAGAAATCGAAAGACATATTTACTTCTCTGCAATGATGAGTTCAATTCCTATTTTCTTAACCTACACCTGCGAGTCATCAATCTGCAAAATCCTGATGTGCTTTTGGATCACATTTTTTACTATCTTTATAAAAGAAAATAATGGCATATGCCAGAAAGTTGTTTGTAATTTTCTATTTCAATATGAAGACTTTTCTTCATGATATGTGTTTCTGCTTCTTTGTCCAGCATACTTTTAAAACAATATTTTCCAGACAGTAGAATTTCACTAAAGCAAATATCTTATGTTACATCTATCCATGAAGAGAAATGATATTTCTCTTAGTATTTATAACTTACCAGTTTTCTCTGTGTTATAGATTAATCTATATTGGTAAAGTGAACATGAATTAGCATCCACACATGGACTGGTTACCGTGATCTTCTGAACTTCATTAATCGCATTAGTTGTTTCCCAGTTTTCCAGCGTTATAACCTATTTTCCAATTTAAAAAAAAATATTTTTTTAATATATGGAAAAAATACATTTTAGAAGTATCATAATTCAGCTATTCAATGCCTCTTTATGTATTGCTCCATTTTACTACAAATGATAAAATAATATTTTAAAACATTTTAAAATTAGTCTTATGAAGTATCAGCCTTTTTGGCTTGTAATACAGATACTCCAGGTCACAATTTAATAATTTTCCATGAATGCTTTCCTCCAAAACAGTATAGTACCTACTAATATTAATAATGAAATAGAACTCCTGATTTTAGACATTTACTTTCTATAAATCTATAATCATAGCAAACCTGTATTTCCTGAATGACTGTCGACTGGGATTTAATAACTTGTTCCTCATTTACTGCATCTTCCGTTTGTTGTTCAGTATAGACACTTCTATACTGGTACAGTCCAACATCAACAAAAGCACTTAATCTATACTCTTGCAGCAAGATTTCAATATAGTATCTGGAAAAATAGAGTAATTAATGAATACAACATTTTCCCCAGAACACTTGTCATAAAATTTTCAATGAATAAAATATCAACATTATCTAAAAAGCCTACCTGTTAAATGATTTATATTGTAGTATCCCTGATTTTAAATATTAAAATATTAAAATTTCATAGTCATTTGCTAAAACAAAATGAATTATATAAGATATCTGCATTAGTAGAGAGTTGTTTCCATTCATGACCAATTCATTTAGTTTCATCAATAAATATTTATTTAAGTATTTATTTATCTATTGCCCATCCTCAAGGAGCTTAAAACAAAATAGCACTTTCAATTATAATAACTCTCTGGCATACAACACATAGGATATGCAGAGGTTAAGTACTTCAATATGTTCAAGTAAATGACAGGCAGGCTTAGATATATCATATATTTTGTATCTGAAAGGTTGTATGTGTCAGGACTGAAAGTTTCTAGTCTCGTGTTCCTTAAATATGGCTCCATTGTAACCTGGGGAATAAAACATTGCCTCAGAAAATGTTTACTGACTAAATTGACCATGGACTTCCAACAAGCTGGATGTGATTCACACCTTATATTTGGAATTCTTAAAGCCCTTGCCCATCATCTAACCGTGTATCCAGGATAAGGCATTCACTGAACAGCTGTTACAGGTGAGTGTAAAACTCCTGCTTCCCCATCTAAGTTTCTAGCAATGCCACCAATGCTCCCATTTTGAAAGGACCAGCCGGGAGTTCTTCTAAATTGCCTCACATCACTCAGCAGATATTCTTATATAGGGAGAATAAGTGTCCACAGTTCATGGAAGACTGAATGAGAAACATTTATCATCTCTCATAATGTAGCATCTCTTATGTGTCTGGGTGATGAGACTCTGGATGTGATGATGCCCCTGATAGAACTGAAGCTGAGAGATTACATCAGGCTCTTGGCTGCCCTAAGAACCTGTTCACCATCTCTGCTGAATCGAGGTGGCCAACACTAACTAAGACGCAGGACTCAAAGAAGAACCACTAAATTCTGCATTCTTACTTGCAGCTTAAAAGTACTAATTAGGCACTTCCTATGTGCTAGACACTAAACAAAGCACTCTGCATTCATTCTTATATGTAATCTTCACAGAAGTCTCATAAAATAGGTATTGTTATTCTCTTTCTTCATATGAATAACAGACACTAAAGAATTTTAATGATTTAAAGATTTTTAAAAAGTAATAAGTGAAGTAGAATTCAAAGCAGAAGAAGCTGACCAAAAAGACACATACTTAGGGACAGAACTATACTCTCTAAGCAGAATAAATTGTCAATATGAGCCATCTTTGGAAAGGCTCTGGGAACCATTGTGCAATAAATGAGCTAGGGTAGCTCTGACCAAAAAGACACATACTTAGGGACAGAACTATACTCTCTAAGCAGAATAAATTGGCAATATGAGCCATCTTTGGAAAGGCTCTGGGAACCATTGTGCAATAAATGAGCTAGGGTAGCCTCGATTTCAGAATTCAGAGCCATCACTATAAGTGCACCTTGTAAATGCCAAGCTGGTCTTGCAGGAGCACAAACACCAGGCAGCAGACGTATTAAGAGTTGCTTTCATTCAAGCTCTGTGCTTCCACCGAGCAGGTAGGCTGAACTCATTTTCCAAGACCAAGCCAGAGTCTGAAGGTGTGTTAACACTTAATCACAGTAGGTATAAATTGGGCACCCCACTTACCCTGAACTAGCCCAGTAGTGATCTTGGTTAAAAAATAAAATGTTTAAGTATATTATAAAGTAGTAGTAGAAGGAGAAGAAGAATGTAATGCTAAGACCTCAGTAAGAACATTAAGTGTGAATGCTCCCAGGTACCATTGATCCCAGCCTTCTCTATCCAATTCTGTCAGATCTTCATGGTGCTGCCTCTGAACATAATTTCATCAATATCTGGAAAGAGAAAATAAAGAAAGAGAGAGAGAAAGAAAGAAAAAGGAAGGAAGGAAGGAAGGAAGGAAGGAAGGAAGGAAGGAAGGAAGGAAGGAAGAGGGAGGGAGGGGGGAAGAGAGAGAGAGAAAGAGAGAACAAGAGAAAGAAACTCCCTCCATCAAGAAGTAAAGTCTATGAGGGAGGGGGGAAGAGAGAGAGAGAGAAAGAGAGAACAAGAGAAAGAAACTCCCTCCATCAAGAAGTAAAGTCTATTTCTTTACCCCTTGAATTTAGGCTTGGCTTTTGCTTTGGCCAATAGGATATTAGCAAGTGAGACACAAGCAAAGTATCAGAAAGTACATGTGTATTAGGAATCGTCTTCTTTACTTCCGGGAACCCATCCATCAATGTGACAAGTCTGCGCTAGCCTCTCAGAAGATAAGAGACCGTGTGGAATGGGATGCTCCATATAGCTAAGTCCCAACCATGACAGCTGAGGCTCCAGATACATGAGTGAGGCCATCCTAGACCATCTATCCCAATTAAACTGTCCAGGACCAAAAGAAGTGCCCAGCCACCCACAAAATTGTGTGAAATAGTGGACATTTGTTGTTTGAAGCTACCAAAGCCTGGAGTCGTTTGTTACGCAGTAAAACCTAACAGATGTGAAATGGAAGATGATCTCAATGCACCTTTTGTCATTCTCCATGTAACTTCATTCTCCACGTTCTCCATTTTGAATACATCATGTCTTTTATCTTTCTGTTTTCTAGGAATCCTGAATGGCTTTTTGAATAGGATAATCTGCTATTTGGATAATACCCTAATCTGCTCTCAGGACTGGACACTTCAGCACTAAATTATTTGCTCCTTAAGGACAGGGAGTATATCTTAATACTGTTGGTATTAAATTTACAGTACGTGGCCCATGGCCTAGAATAAATCAGTAAATAATAAATACATATTAACAGTGGCATTAATACATGTGATTTTTCTCTAGCAATATTCAAGAGCTCTGCTATAAGAACAGAGAAATTAAATAAATGATTGACTTAAAAGACCTACTAAAGAACTAAAAACAGGATTAAGTAAATTTTGCAAAATTATAATTGTTGCAACAGGATTAATTTATATTTCAAATTCCTCCAGTTGGCTAAATGCTAGTATTTTTGAAAATATAGAAACAAAATTTAATAAAATTTTGGAGAATGGACAATTACAAATTAAGCCAATAAACTAACAATTAAATTAAAAACAATCGATTTCAATCAATTAAAAACAAAATGAAATTGTTTATACATACAAACTTACAGCTTTTAAATACCACACAGAAATTTAAAGACAAGTAAAAACCTTACTCTTTTCCTTTCTGAAGATGAATGTCACCTGATCTTTGTGTTGGACTGGAAAAATAACTGTTGGCATTGGCAGAGTGATATGCGATCCTCACCTTATCCCAGAAGGACAGAGAGAGAGGGAGAGAGAGAAAGAAGATAATTTATTAATAAATCTTTTCAACTTTTATTTATCATTTATTGTTTCTGTCAGTCTTAGAACTTTTATTAATAGAAAAATATGAAGTAGTTTATTATCTTTTATTTTAATAGAAGTCTTATTTTAATTTTAAATAAACTTTATTTTAAAGTCTAATAAAAGTTTCTTATTTTAATAAGTCTTAGAACTTTTATTAATAGAAAAATAAGAAACTACTTCATAGTTTTCTTCTAAGATTTGTTATCAATGAGGAAATCGAATTTTTAAAAATAATCGAAGCTCACTTCCATCCTTCCACCCTTCACTAACACCAACACCACTATACCACCATAGCTTTTCCACAATTAGAATTCCAATGGGAAATAAAAAGATACATGCCAGGAGGAACGTTGTAATGGTTAAATAAAATATTCCTTTTCTCTGCATAGAACTCTGAGGGATTTAACTCAAATTAGATCATTAGAGATTGTCCTGAAAGATGCCAAAGATTGCTAAATGGTTCTGCATGCTTCCCATTAGAAATGACTATACCACCTTTGGAGGAAGCATGCCGACAAGCTATGGAAAAATTAGAATTCGTAAATTACAGGTAGCAATTTAAACTTCTGCAACCAGTATGTGAAGCAACTTTACCATATAAATAGAGTCATAAAATGTTATTTTGATTTGATCTATTTCACATTTGTGAAATTTTTCTAAGGAAATAATCCAAAATACAGAAAAATCTAATAAACATAGATGTTCAACAGAGTATTATTTGTGATCATTAAAAATCAGAAATAAATTAAAAACATCAATAGGGAGATAGTTACTAAGCTTAGTAAGCCCATATAGTAACATAATATTCAGTCATTAAAAATGGTGATTACATAAACAAGGTAACATTAGTGCTTAATACTAATATGTGGCAAAAAATGACTATGAAATTGGATGCATGATCCTACCTATGTAAAAACAAAAATAGTGATAAAAGGAAAAGACTTTCATCTCATGACCAAGTAAATGCAAAACAGTGAAATATTTTCATTCTTTTCCAAATTTTCTATGTGTGGTTATAATTTTTTCATAATAATTTTTAAAATTTCATTTTTAAAGAAAATATATGTGTTTTTCCCTTGACTGAGAAAATTTAGATGTGGGAAATGACTTTCTTTTAGGCTATAGGTTTTCCATGACAACACTATAGCTTATATTATATGATATGTTAAAATATCCAAAAACCCAACTACATAAAATCATTTCTCATAGATTCCTTAATGTATTCGTTGATTTTGATTGAGAATAAGTGAGATACATATAAAGATCATCATATTCTTTTTATAATATCAAATAGTATTCTGAGGTTTCCCTACCTTATCTTCTGGAAGTCCAGTATGGCTGAAATAAATAGCATAACGGTCATCACCTTTGATGTAGAATCTATAAACATCAGAATCTGGAGCCACCAAAAATCCAGTGAAGCGTGCAACAAATGTATCGTGTTCCAAGGGCCAACTGTAAGAAGCTGAATCTACCCAACTGGCACCCAAATAGCCTGGAGTTTTTTCATTGTATTCAAGTATTTCTTCAAGATGTACTGGCCGGCTATTATTCCATACCTCAAGTTTTAGGCCTCTCCCACCTAAACATAATAAGATAAAAGAAGCCTTTCATCAGAATCATGATACCATGTCATAATGGCCTATTTGGGTGGTTATTATAGATGTTCTATTTCAATTCAGACTTAGAGACCATGTATGCAAAGAAAACAATTACACATACCCCTACATGTACTTGTATCCAGAAGACAGAGTACTATTAGGACAATCTGCAACATATTTATTATTAATTCACTTCTCTGAGCCTCAGTTTCCACATATGTAAAATTAGTGTAATAATACTATTTGCATGGATGCTATAGGAATTATGTATAATATATGTGTAAAATACTTGGCATTTAATAAGCACTTTACTTCAGATAACAATAGATAATAATTATTACCTATCACATGACTGATGTTGCTTTATATACTTAACTCTCAAAACTTCAAAATTAAGACCATTTGGTTTCAAAGTCTTTGCCTTGATTTTTCTCTCTAATAATAAAAGTTACTCAATGATGGGCTTACAAAGCCATTAACTGGGGAGCGGACACTGTTGTCTTTATGATTTCTCTCAATATTTGCTCAATATTTGTTTTTCTCTCTTTCTTTTAAGCATTGCTTCTGCTCTAGGATTTCATCTTCTGCTTGAACAGAATCAAAAAGAGAATTGCTGTGGATTGAATGTCCCCCCAAAACTCACTGAGGTTTGAATTGTGTCCCCCCAAAAGTTTATTGTAGTGGAGACTTCGTCCCCACTGTGACAGTGTTAAGAGGGTGGGAAATCCTATTGTGATAGTTGAAAGATGGGGCCTTGGAAAGGTAATTGGATTGTGAGGACTGCACCCTCATGAATAGATTGATCCATTCTTGGAATAGTGGACATGGCTCTGAGGGCATTAAAAGGAGAGTGCATGACGAACTCTCTTTCTGTCTCTGCTCTTCCATTTTCTGCCATGTGAGATCCCTGCACTTCTGTAAAGCCACTGCCAAGGAAGACCCTCACCAGATGAGTTCCCTGGATTTTGAAGTGCCTAGCTTCCAAATCTGTAAGCAATAAATATATTGTTTTCTTACAAATCACCCAGTTCCAGATATTTTGTTACAAGCAACAGAAGGAGACTAATACAGAATACTCCCAATAAAGTGCATTGACTCTTGCCAGGGTAAACCCTGTGATTAAGTTTTTTCCTAATCAGAAAGAAACTACCTCACTCTTTCCTTTTCTGCTTTTCTTTTCTTCTTCTTTTTTTTTTTCCTTAAAATACAACAACAATTAGGTTCATGCCTTTCTATAGCAGCTTTAAATCTTGTCTGGATCTGGATAACAATAGCTACACTACAGGGCTTCAGTTGAATTTGGTTGAAGAAAAGCTTGAATACTTCAGCCTTTTACAGCAGCAGAACTCTCTGACAAATACAACTTTCTTCAATGTCTTTAATTATAAATGTAATTTATTTTCTTAAACTGGTCATATTTTCTCTAATATAATTCAAAACGAAGAAATATAAATGGTTGGTAAACAGAATTCATTAGGTTTCGTATACCAACCAATGACACAATTATAAACAGATTTCACTATGTGCACAAGATATGAGATACACATATCATGTACAGCATTTCAGTGATATGAGTGCAGATCCAATCGCCATCAGCTGCAATTTCACTGGCCCACGGGTGAAAGTCTGAAAAGAATTTTGAGTTATATTTATCTTACCTCCTATTTTCACTCTCAAACCATCCTTGACGAGTAAGAATTTATTTTTTTCCCCAGGAAAATAATTTGTTTTCTCCCCCATTTATTTACTTTTATCCAGGAAAAGGCATTTAAAATCTGTTCATGTAGCCAAGATTTAGTAATCATAATTTAATTTAATAGAGGCATCACTGTACTCAATCAATAGAGATGTGCTCTTTTCAGTAGGGTGTCTGAAGAATTTAGGCTGGGTTTATCTCCACTGATATAATTTAAATGCAGCTATTATAATACAAATATTTCCTGATCCAGAAAATGTAAATTAAAAACTTGGAAGAAATTTATTATAATTCCCACTACAAATTCTAAGAAGTTCAAATAATATTTGTTTTTACTAATTATGTGTGTCAACAATATTCTATTTCTGCAAATGTAGAAATGTCCATTCTCTCTTATGATAACTTACCTGGATATACAGTTTTGAGAGTATGAGGTTTAGAGGGTGTCTTGCAACATATGCTATTTTCTGTGACATTCAAAATATCACAGGCTTGACCTACAGAGAAGCAAGGTGCAGAACCGTTACTACTGAAGCTTCAGAATGCAAATCATGTCCACCTACCTTTAAGTACTTTTTCTATACCTTGAAGTACTTTTCTATTAAAACAAAGTTATGTAAGCAAGAGGCAAAGCTGGGGATTTTCATTTCCTTTACATGTTCTCCCTTAAAGCTTATCACTCATCAACTGTCATACTTCCATAAGGCAACATTTTCCTGGGAAAATATCACAAGTCTGAGATAGAAAATGTCACAATTTCTGATTTAAAAAAAAAAAAAGCTAATAAAACTATGTCTTTGTAAAAGTTTTCACTTTTGAGTCCAAAGTGAAGCCTTATATTTTGTTCCTTGAAGAAAAGTTGCTAAATAAACCCAGCATGTTCAGACTTTGCAAAGGTAGATGATCCCAGACCTCATAGGTGGGAAAAATGGTGGTTTAGTCCAAATTCTTCAAATAGAAACAAAAGGGACGATAATTTTTAAATGAGTATTTTCACCAAAACAGACAAGGGCCTAAAAGAGAATGATTGTAACCTCTATATAAGCACAATTAGGCTTGAGGGAAGAGTCTATGTCTTAGAACTCTATGTGTTCCTCATGTAAGGTCAGTCCTCGATAAGTATTTACTGAAGTGGCAATCACAGCCCACAAAAAGTGAGGACAAGGGAAATGATGGGAAATGCTTTACCAAGCTTTGCTTGGTAGCCTGCAACATTTAAATTTTGACACTCCCTTTGAATGCTTGAGGATGCAAGAAAATCGAACTAGAAAATAGTAAATTTGAATAGTATATTAAACCAATAGCCCATTTTACTGCAAAGGAAAGATACATAAACTAATTATTTTCAAGAAATTATTGAGGATTCAGAATCTTCAATCTAGTTGCCACATTAATGGCAATTAAATGTCTTAGAAAACTAAAATGGTCTCTTTGCATATCAACTGTATTGTTGTCAAAATAAGCATGATACCATAAATTAAAAGTGCTTTATGTCCCCGGTTTTAATATTTAAAATATCAAATCTGATCTAAATAATACATGATATAAACATAAAAAACTATGGCCCAGGTTCTAATATTTATGCAGGTGACCAGCAAGGGATTCATGGAGACAGGAAAGTTATTGTATAAATGCTAAATGAGGTTCCTTTATATCCATTTCTCTTCTCTTCTGAAATCATACTTTTGCTGGCTCATAGGTAGATTCCATAAAAAAATAGATAGTATCTGAGTAAGAGGTCTGTANGAATCTGGTTGCCACATTAATGGCAATTAAATGTCTTAGAAAACTAAAATGGTCTCTTTGCATATCAACTGTATTGTTGTCAAAATAAGCATGATATAAATTAAAAATGCTTTATGTCCCCAGTTTTAATATTTAAAATATCAAATCTGATCTAAATAATACATGATATAAACATAAAAAACTATGGCCCAGGTTTTAATATTTATGCAGGTGACCAGCAAGGGATTCATGGAGACAGGAAAGTTATTGTATAAATGCTAAATGAGGTTCCTTTATATCCGTTTCTCTTCTCTTCTGAAATCATATTTTTGCTGGCTCATAGGTAGATTCCATAAAAAAATAGATAGTATCTGAGTAAGAGGTCTGTAGCAGAAAATATATGTGTCCAGTTGCATGGGCAACCATCTTGTCTCCTGCCTATCAAGGAAAGTGATGTCATTATAACTGAGGAAAGAGATTCCCACCATTACATTCACCCCAACCTCTATTTTGAGCTGCATAACTCCCTGCCTCTGAACAGATCTAGACAAGACACATAAAAGTGATCTGTAACCAGAGAACCAAGGCCTATGTGCATTTGCAAACAGATAACCCACTAATTAATGCTCTTTCCAAGGCCAATGTCATCAGTAATTACTGATGTGTGGATGAGGCACAGTATATGAGAGGAATATGAGAAGAGTATCCCAAAATAGTACCTTACATTTCATTTC